GCTTGTGGGTGGTGGGGTGGGGTTGTCGTTGGCAGGGGGGGGGGGGTGGCTTGTGATCTAAAGGGGGATTCATAATGTGAAAAACAGGATTCTGATTTGAAAAAGAGGCTTCTGGTTTGAAGGAGAGACTCTGATGTGAAGGGGGGGGCCCCATTTTTAAAAATGGTTTTGCATGGGGCTCCCCCTTAAAATCCACACCAGGTTGTAATCTTTTGCAAGGTGACGTGAAACCTCTGATCCAGACTAAAGGGGTTAAGCACTATGTATCATATACACTGTTTTCTATACAGTATATGTTACAGTTGCTTTGAAAAGACGCACGTACATAAGGAATATCCGGAGGGGAAAGAGCCAACAGTGGAACAGACGGCCGCGGATTACACAGCGCCAAACCCTGCTAAATTAATAAACGCTTTAGAGCGAGCAATCAATAGAGACGAGCTGTCTTTATCTGCTCCCTAATAACTAATGATTGGTCTACAAACACAGATAGACACCCAGTTTATATAACTGTTGACACAGTGTTATCTGGATCAGTGCGTGCAGGCGGGTCATAGTGCAGCACCGGCGGAGGGGAAATGATTGTCAATATTATTGTTAGGTGTGAGTCCAACCGGCATAAAAGGAGCCACACAAGTTAAGCCGGGGCCATTGTGTGCACTCACTGTGGAGAAATGAGGATTCGGCCTTTGTGTTTACCGCCTGGGATTATTCAACAAATATTTTGCTAGATCTTTTTTTTCTTTTTTGACTCCTACCAACTCTCATGTCTCTCACGGGAACATATGATAAAAACGTGTGTACAGTCACCTGTTTTGTCAATAAATGATTAAAGGGGACCTGTGAACCATAGACAAGGGAAGCAGCCGTGTTGTGGCACTCCAGACAAATGTGAAAAGATCCAGTTATTGATTGATTGATTAGAAATACGTTTTCAATACAGCTAATATAGATAGTTAAATCTGTTTTTATATTAGCTGTATGTGATCACCTGTACAACAACGCTGAGCCTGGGTGAAGGAAGGTCAGCAGTGGAAGCCAATCAGAGCTCGCTGTCATACTCACACTGGGAAACTGGTTACAGGAGGTGGAAAAACAGGGGTGGACATGGCAATGAGCTGCTGCTCCTTCATTTTATAGACAGTGGGCTCTGCTCCTTCACTGTCCAATCAGCAGACTCTGCTCCTTCACTGTCCAATGAGCAGGCTCTGCTCCTTTACCATCCAATCAGCAGGCCCTGCTATATCACTGTTCAATTAGCTGGCTCTGCTCCTTCACTGTCCAATCACCTGGCTCTGCTCATTTACTATCCAATCAGCTGGTTCTGCTCCTTTACTGTCCAATCAGCAAGCTCTGCTCCTTTACTGTCCAATCAGCTGGTTCTGCTCCTTTACTGTCCAATCAGCAAGCTCTGCTCCTTCACTGTCCAATCAGCACGCTCTGCTCCTTTACTGTCCAATCAGCAGGCTCTGCTCCTTTACTGTCCAATCAGCAAGCTCTGCTCCTTCACTGTCCAGTCACCTGGCTATGCTAATTTACTATCCAATCAGCAGGCTCTACTCCTTCACTGTTCAATCAGCAGGCTCTGCTCCTTTGCTGTCCAATCAGCAAGCTCCGCTTCTTACTTGTCCAAACAGCAGGCTGGGGAAATAGAGGAAAGCAAAGCTTTAAAAAGCAGCCATTTATTTTCCTTAAAGTGTTTTTGTTTGAAAATTCAATAGTAGGAAATAGTAAGATTCCCTAACAGGCCTTTTTTTGCCCAAGTCCTATTGAGATTTTCTTTCAACTCCTGTCCCAGAGACAAAACAGGAAGTAAGAGAAAATGTCTCCATAGTGAGGGGAAAAAGGAGGTCTGAAGTGCATGCATTGGGGCTGATCTAAGGTCGGAAATGCATGCATTGGGGCTGATCTAAGGTCGGAAGTGCATGCATTGGGGCTGATCTAAGGTCGGAAATGCATGCATTGGGGCTGATCTAAGGTCGGAAGTGCATGCATTGGGGCTGATCTAAGGTCGGAAATGCATGCATTGGGGCTGATCTAAGGTCGGAAGTGCATGCATTGGGGCTGATCTAAGGTCGGAAATGTTTTGTGTGTATACCAGTTAATCAATGCATTCAATCGCAGTGGTACTGCTAATGGCAAGTTACACACAGTATTAATTTTGAGTGCAAATCAAAATTTAACATCAACTAACAAAATTGAAACCAGGAATTTGATTGAGGAAACGCTGCTTTATTCTATATAGAGGAAATTAACAATAACTTACAGGTTGTAGAGCCACAAGCTTCACCATCCGGAGTTCTGCTTTAATAATCATCCTTGTGAATTGATACATTGTAGATCTTTATACTAATCTCAACATTTCCTGTCCTGCAGCTTCCGCCCAGCCAGGTCTTATGGGGAAATGCAGACGGCCTCGTACAGCCTTCACCAGTCAGCAGCTGCTGGAGCTAGAGAACCAATTCAAGCTCAACAAATACCTGTCACGGCCAAAGCGCTTCGAGGTGGCCACATCTCTTATGCTGACGGAAACACAGGTGAGTGATACTCTCAGGTTAATGCATTAAAGAGAACCTGTTGTGACGGACATACTGCTCGCAGTTATTTTAGAATTCATCAAGCGTGATAGAAATTGTTTATGAGACAGACTGGTGTTCAGGAAGAGCCAGCCCATCAGCTGGTCTCCTAAAATCAGTTCATTATGAAAGATTCATATTTGAAAAATGAAACTCTTGCTGTGTATTGTGACAGGAATGTATTCATGCAGAAGACTTCAATTACTTCAGGCAGAAAGTTTGGAGTTTAGGCGACACCAGTGGCGTAACCATGGCCATAGCAGCCCAGTAGGCTGCTATGGTGGCCTGGGGATGGAAGGGGGCCCTATTATGTTGTTCAGGCAAATTAAACATAGAACATGCGAAAATAATACATTACCATATCATTAAGGATTGGAGTTGTTGCAGTTGACTTCAACTCTAATCCCCTGTAAAGTCTACAGTGTAGAGACGATTTCGGATGCACAGGAGGAGTGATTGGGATCTTGGCATTGTTACTCACAGCTCAGAGAGAGGTCATCAGAGAGGCCCCCATCATTTTTGCTATGTGGCCCCCGGTGATCTGTAGTTACAAACCTAGGTGAGACCCTTTACTGGCTAACTTAAAGTGAATTTCCACTTTTGCAGTCAAATTTGAGAAAACCCCACTATACGTTTGTTATGTGTTCCCATATACAGAGAAAACCTTAAAATAATATATTTCTTACCTTTTGGCTGTTTCTTTGGTGAAATCCTTTGCGCAGATTCCAGGCTACTCTTTGGTGAAGGTCTTTATGCAGATTCCAGGCTACTCTTTGGTGAAGGCCTTTGTGCAGATTCCAGGCTACTCTTTGGTGAAGGTCTTTGCGCAGATCCCAGGCTACTCTTTGGTGAAGGCCTTTGTGCAGATTCCAGGCTACACTGTGGTGAAGGTCTTTGTGCAGATTACAGGCTACTCTTTGGTGAAGGCCTTTGTGCAGATTCCAGGCTACACTGTGGTGAAGGTCTTTGTGCAGATTACTACTCTTTGGTGAAGGCCTTTGTGCAGATTCCAGGCTACTCTTTGGTGAAGGCCATTGTGCAGATTCCAGGCTACACTTTGGTGAAGGTCTTTGTTCAGATTCCAGGCTACTCTTTGGTGAAGGCCTTTGTGCAGATTCCAAGCTACTCTTTGGTAAAGGCCTTTGTGCAGATTCCAGGCTACTATTTGGTGTCTTCTGAACTACAGCTCAGTGTCTGAACAATGTAACATTATCATTGCTTGCTGGGAACAATGCATGATGCGTTAAGTAGTCTTGAGAAATGGAGATTGCATCACATCAAGCAGCAGGAAAAGAGATGCAAAGCACTAGGTAGGAGTTTTAAGCAAATATAAAGCACTTACAATTGTAGTCATTCATTTTTAATTTTTTTTGAGTTATGCAATATAAATGGGAAAATTTAACAAATATAAAGTAGGCGTTATCCTAATTTGGCTGCAAAAGTGGAACTACACTTTAAGTTATTAAAGATGGTTTCAGAGTGCCTAAGATCCCTTCTTCAGGATTTACACATTCCTCAAGAAATATATAAATCCTAAAGAAGAAGGGATCCAAGGCATCCTGAAATCTTAAAAGGTATCACTTAAACCCCGAAACTACTGCATTGATCGGCTGCTAACACGGTTCAATACTCTACTAATGATAGAAAATAACTTGTAACTTACTAATTGTAACTGTAACTCACTTTATCCTAATCCGGGGCAGGTGCGCCCTCTTGTGGCTAAATAATGAAAATTCAATTACCAAGTCCCCAAAATGTACCAACAAACCAAATATAATAAACATGGCTGAGAAAAAGGTCTGAGCATCAAATCCCTAAATAAAGTACTTAATCCAAACAAGTATAGAGTTATTTGGGGCATTTAAGGTGCTATAAGATTACACAAACCAATATGTAAGCTTTTCTTAAACTCTATAATAAAAAAAATTTGCATAAATACATGTGTATTCTGCCTTGAATCTCGGTGAGTTTTGTGTATTTCTTCCAGATCTGTGCAGTAATCCGGTGTGAGACTTGGAGCTTCCTGTCATAAAGACCGGTCATTGCTGCTCTCTCTCCTTGTACAGGGTGGCTGGTCTTGTCTCCGCCCCCTCCTGTCATAAAGACCACTCACTGCTGCTCTCTCTCAAATTGTGCAGGGTGACTGGTCTTGTCTCCGCCCCCTCCTGTAATAAAGACCGCTCACTGCTGCTCTACCTCCTTATGCAGGATGACTGGTCTTGTCTCCGCCCCCTCCTGTAGTCTTCTACAGGCAACCTGTAGTGGGTAGAGCACAGCTCTGCTCTCTGCATAGGCTCTGCAGAGCACGGTGATGATGTTAATGATACTACCTGGGTTTGCAAAGGCATTTGGTGCGGACAAAGTGGATTTTTTGTGGCCATTAAGGAACATATTTAAATTCATGTTTTTTTTGCTTGGAGTTGAGCTTTAAGAAAATGTTTTATTAATAGAGTTTAACAGCTTAATATAAACCATATAAATACATTGGCAAACGTACATATAGACATGTATATTTATGTATTGCCCTTACGTCCCTCTATGTGAGCCTCTGATTAAACAGGAGACAATACAGAGACGCACATATGGGGATATGTAGGTGGTACAGGAATATACAGTATGTCTATATGTGCTATCACCAACATTTTTAAGTGTTTTAGCTGTTGAACTGTATTCATAAAGCATTAGCTTAAGGAAACCTTTGAAGTTGTAAAGTCCCAGCATCTCCTCTCCTGTTATAACATCAGCATTGTAATAGGAATACATATTACAGATGTTTCTGATAATACAATCAAAGCTTATATTAAAAAATCCCTTTCATGTAGTAAGTGCCGCCTTCCATCTGCCCATCACTTCCAATCAACTTCCTGGATTCCCAGCGTGCTTTGCGTCTCTTACCCTGCTGCTTAATGTGATGTAATCTCCATTTCTCAAGACTACTTAAAGGAGAACTATGAGGGGGGAGTGCTTTTCGCTCACCTCATAGTTCTAGCCGACCTGTGACAATGAGACTGTCACAGGTCGGCTCAGTAGATCGGGAAGTGAGCGGAACACATACCGGCGTTCGCTCACCTCTCGATCCTGTCACGGCTCTCTGCCGTGACAGGGGAGGGGCTGGATCCCCCCTCCCCGCTCCGATCCTCCAGCGCTGACTGGCGGAACGGACGGGGGAGGGGGCGGGTACAGCTGGCTCTGCCTCTAGATTGGCAGAGCCAGCTGTCAGTCACGCAGCTGGGCGGTTCCCGCCATAACTGTCGGGATTCACTTCAGCTGCGGCGTCTCAGTATACCGCAAGCTACAGCTCGAGGTATACTGAGCCTAGGGTGACGGGAGGACGCTAGTTTGTGTCCTCCCGTTACCCTAAGGAGAACTATGGGTAAAAGCCCTAACCCCATAGTTCTCCTTTAACTCATCATGCATTGTTCCCAGCAAGGAATGGTGATATTACATTGTTCAGACACTGAGTTGTAGTTCAGAAGGCAGGCTCTGTGAGAGTGGTGACACCAGGAAGTGCATATTCACAGGGCTGAGTGAAATGGTGTCAGTGCATTGAGGAAGTCCATCCTATGGGCATCTTGAATAACTTCAAGCTTCTAGATGGATCTGGTTATTAGGAGTGGGATAGAACTTATGGAAATTCAATATAGAAATGCAGATTCATTTTTCCCTTTTGACCATAGACACCTTTTAATTGTAAGAAAATTCTAATTGTTTGGATAGTGTTTGAAGAAAATGCTACATTTGAGCACTGGATTATTGAATCTCTAAATTTGGTCTGATTTCTGTACCCAGGTAAAGATCTGGTTTCAGAACCGCAGAATGAAATGGAAGAGGAGCCGTAAGGGGAAAGAACAAGGGCTGCCAAACCACAGCGACAGGAAGCGGTCGGAGGGCATCGCGCCCAGCAAAGATCCTCAGGATGAGGACGAGGAGGAAGAGGAAGAGGAGGACGAAGATGTAGACTTCCAAGGATCAGAGAGAGACACAGACATCTTACGGCACAATGGCCAGCTCCGCTACAGCCCAGAGTCTTTTTGCTCCGAGGAAGAGAGCGGGGCTCTGCCCTCCCCATAAGATACTGACTGAGTGACTGTGGGCAATGTGCAGCCCGAAGTTTATTTATTTATCATGGACAGTACTATTCCACAGAGGTGTGGAGACCGGAGATAATAATTTATATGTATTTAACTCATTATTGGTAGGGCTCTGAGCGGGAATGGGTGGGTTATAAGTGGCTTCATGGGTTACCTGCAATAAAATGAAATAACCAGGTTTGGCCTTCTGAAAATAAACTCTGTTGGGTTTCAGCTTTGTGTCCACCATGATGATGATTTTTATTTCCCATAGGAAAGTGAAGGAACCTGTTCCAGCCAATCATAGTTACATAGTAACATTGTTAGTCAGGTTGAAAAAAGACACATCCATCAGCCCATCAACCAATAGGAAAAATCAATGAATAAATACATGAAAACCTCCATATACAGAACCCTATACCGGCATTTCTCCAACTTTGTTCAGTTACCCCAGGTGCACCGCCACGCCCCCTCCCGCCCCAGAACGCAGTGAGCTGGACAAGACCGAATCGTGCCGGAACGCACTGGGGCTGGTGTGAATTAGCCCTTATCCTAGACAGGGGTCTGGTATTACTTTTACGGGGGAACCCAAAGCAAAACAAGGGGAAAAAAAGATGACATGGTGCCTTCTCCTTCACATCAGAGTCCCCCCTTTCACATTAGTTTTCCTTCACATTAGATTCCTTCCCTTTCACATCAGGAGTCCCCTTCACATTAGAGTCCTTCCCTTTCACATCAGGAGTCCCCTACACATCAGATTCCTTCTCTTTCATATCAGGAGTCCCCTTCACATCAGATTCCTTCTCTTTCATATCAGGAGTCCCCTTCACATCAGATTCCTTCTCTTTCATATCAGGAGTCCCCTTCACATCAGATTCCTTCCCTTTCACATGAGGAGTTCCCTTCACATCAGATTCCTTCCCTTTCACATGAGGAGTTCCCTTCACATCAGATTCCTTCCCTTTCACATCAGGAGTCCCTTTCACATCAGATTCCTTCCCTTTCACATCAGGATCCCCCTTCAGATTAGAGTCCTTACCTTTCACATCAGGAGTCCCGCTCACATCAGATTCCTTCCCTTTCACATCAGGAGTCCCCTTCACATCAGTTTTCTTCCCGTTCACATCAGGAGTCCCCTTCACATCCGATTCCTTCCCTTTCACATCAGGATCCCCCTTCAGATTAGAGTGATTAGCCTTCACATCAGGAGTCCCCTTCACATCAGATTCCTTCCCTTTCACATCAGGAGTCCCCTTCACATCAGATTCCTTCCCTTTCACATCAGCAGTCCCCTTCACATCCGATTCCTTCCCTTTCACATCAGGAGTCCCCTTCACATCAGGTTCCTTCCCTTTCACATCAGGAGTCCCCTTCACATCAGATTCCTTCCCTTTCACATCAGGAGTCCCCTTCACATCAGA